ATTTACAAACATTGATTATTAAACTTTAAAATTTCTTTCGAATTTTCGTCATGAATTATTTAACTAATTTCTATCATTCTCTTTTTTTCTCGTTTCCAGATCCCGAACCGTGTTCTTCGGACCCATGTCAAAATAGTGCTACTTGCACGAATACAAACAATGGCTTCAACTGCACATGCGCACTCGGTTACTATGGTGAATTGTGTAGTGAACGAGACCACTGCATATTCTATCCGAAGCCCTGTTTACACAACGGAAATTGTAGTATGAATGAAACTTCGTATCAATGTGCTTGTCCTTCCACTTATGTTGGAGATCACTGTCAAACAGGTAAGCCATGACATACGCCCGTATTCTAAAAGCTCACTCACACTCAATGAGTGGAGGTTCAATCTGAGCTTCCCTTGAGTGTCAATGCTGTTTTTGAATAGCAGGAGGGTGAGTAGTCACATATAGTACGGTACGGCATTAACCCTCCAGCTATTCAGAAACAGCATTGGCACTCAAGAGAAGCTCAGATTGGACCTCCACTCTTTGAGTGTGAGTGACCTTTTAGAATACAGGCGTTAATCTCTGTGTTTGTTCGTTTGTTTGTGTGTTCGTTTGAAATAAAAGACTCGCATAATTTCTTTTAAACTTTGGATTAAAAATGGGAGTTGGTATGCGTAGTAAAAATATGCTCTTTGAGTGGAACAAAAAAACTCCAACGCTTATAAGCGAAGCATAGGAAAGAGTAATCTTCTATTAACGACATTGCAATCAAATACCTACTTTGTCAACGTACTTAACTTTTTATGCAGAAAAAATTGTGAAATTACAATATTATGAAAATAGTAATTTCGCATAATCTTCATGGATGGAAAATTACCTCTCAACCTTTCCCATACCATATCCAAAAATCTCCTTTCTATAGTACTAGTGCTTGGTTTGTATTTACTCAAGTCATTAACAGATGGTATTTTATCTCTTACTATTTCAGAAAATCACATTCCAATCACAGATCTAGCCGTCGAGCCAATACCTTCGCAGGAATTTGGAAACGATATTTCTATTACATGGAGCGTTTCAGACGGAACTTACCTATCCATAGTAGCATTGTATAATACCATCCCATGTTGCAATTCAAGCTTAGGTCACATTAAACAAGGCTCCTGTATCTGCGCTGTCTCTGATCCAGACCTCTACGACCCGGATGGCGTGGTCGATATCACGGTAGTAGCCAGGAATCTAGTGTCCAACCTCAACACGTCTTTCCAGATTGAAGTCCTAAAAAAGATCCGCAATGCGTCGATAATAACATTGACAACCTATTCGGGCTTTGGTAATGGGCTCGAAGGAGCTGGGAATCTGCGAAACACATTTCCAGCGGAATACCCGGTGAAATTCGACGCCACTTATTTGGACGCTCCGGTTAATGTCAGCGAGTGGACATTCATTTGTACTGAGTTTGGCACGAGTTATGAGAACCAGTTAACGTTTGAAAAAGCTTTTCCTGCAACTACAAGTGACGCTTGTGATATATACCTTGTACTGAGAAACAGTATAAGTCAAGCTAGAGCACACAGCTCTATTGTTTTAAAAGAAAGCGTAATTTTAACAAGTCTAACTAGTAATGGTCCTGTCAAACTAAACGAAACTGTCACATTCACAATTTCATTACAAAAACTCGGCACCCAAACCTGTTTGTGGTTTGACTTGGATGACAATAGTGCCCTCCATGTTTTTGGCGATGAATCTTGCCCGGGTAGAATTGATGTTGATGAAATCAACCCAAATATTCTGGCAGAACCTCGATTGAAGTACACGCATAAATATTCAGACACTCGGGAGATTCTCATCAACCATGTTTATCCTCGTGTTGGTTCTTATGACGTCAAGATGTACGCGTCAAATGACGTTTCCATGGTTACAGAACAATTGGTGGCTGCAGTGGTTCCCCTGGAATGTAGAAACCCCAACGTGACTATATTAGGTAAATACAGGTTTGTGTCTGCATCTCAAACGCGGGTATCCATTGTAGGTACTATTCTACATTAAGCTGCCGTGGTTTGTGTCTGAATAACCTGAAAAAAGATATCTCAAACGTGGTGGTCCAGTGTAGGTAGTATTCTATAGTAAGCTGTCGTGGCTTGTGTCTGAACTACCTGAGAAAGATATCTCAAACGCGGAGGTCCAGTATAGGCAATAATATTAGGGTCTACGAAACACTATTTCACGCTTTATGATAATCACGTTTTATGATCATTTGAAAGCCACAGATTTGGTGTATTTTATGTCATAGACGAAAACGTTAAGACGCTACCCCCATCTCCCCAGGTTTTCCTCAGTTTTGAAAGAATTACAAAATTGGCCCTGAAGGAAAGTGTGTGTGTGTGGGGGGGGACGCCCATTCTTCCCCCGTGGCTACGTTTCTGGAAACATATTTGCTCCCTAGTGATTTGTTGTGGAAACAATGTTTTCTGATTTTCCCTGGGCTTAAACTTTTGCATTCTTTAGGTTTAAAACCGAATTCTTCCAACGTTTTGAACGCAGTTCACGTGTATCGTTCAGTTGACATCGTACTAACAACAGAACAAGAAATTTACTGCGAAATTACTGAGCAAACGACCGCATCTTGGAATGTCTACAAATTTACTGACGATCCTCGCAACACAGTACCTGCTGCCGGATTAAGAAAAACTCTGTTCCACTCCGAGATCTCTACCTCGGATCTTTTACTCCCCGGGAGATTTTTATCTTACGGCTTCTACGAGATCGTTGCCCATGTAGAGATGAGAGGTTTACCTGGTGTGCTTGGAAGTGCGTCAATTCATGTCCAGGTTGTCCAGACTCCTTGGCTTGAAGCTGCTGTCACAGCTGGATCTTTTTATACTGTACCCTACGGATTTGAGGTACACTGATTATTAGTTATGTAGTTCATCAACCAATTATCCGTTAATTAGTTACTAATTAATTCATTCATTCATTATGCAATGAGCAAATTAGAAAACATAGTAGGTTGTTTGTGATGTTACTCTGAGTGTATATCCACACCGGGCAAGTGGGCTAGTATTCCAAAGGTCGTAGGTTCGATTCCCACCGTGGCCAGGCATATTTTTCAAGCTTTCCTGGTGTGGACAAACACTCAGAGTAACATCACAAACGTCATATTCACCCGAGTACATAACACCAACACAGAAAAAAAGTCACATAGTAGGTATTACAGCTTGTAGTGTAAGTCTTACAGCTTTACAAATATGAAAAGCAATTGACCATTTGCGTAATAGACTAAATTTTGATCTCAACAAAAATTTCATTACAGCTTGAAAGAGCATCACAACATTAGTAATATTCCAAAGTTTCGTTGCAAAATGTTGTAAAATGCGGAAAATATAGCCTTGCGAAGTCTGCAATTTTCAGTCATTTTAGATTACAAACCGGAAATTGACAGCCTCGAAGGGTTTGGGGCTGTCAATTTCCCGTTTGTAATCTAAAATGGCTGAAAATTCCAAATTTCGCAAGGCTATATTTTCCGCATTTTACAACATTTTGCCACGAAACTTTGGAATATTACTAATTTTGTGATGCTCCTTCAAGCTGTGATGAAATTTTTGTCTAGACTTGTCTAGTTCAAAATTTAGTCTGTTACGCAAATGGTCAATTGATGTCTTTGCTATTTCTAGGGGTCGCTCAACGCATCTGCTTCGAGAGATCCTGATTTTGCCGGTACGGAAGGAATGACTTTCGCCTGGTTGTGTCGAGACGTTGATGATAGTGAATTTTTACTCTCAAATCTGAATAACGAATCTTTGATTTCCATTCCTAATGTGAACGACAGCACATTTGATCCTGCTCAGGGTGTAAGAATGATTTCTATACTGGATTCTATATATTTTCTACACTACCCCCAGTTTCATATAGAGATCACTAGATCCATATTACCTTTCTTCTTTATCACAGCTTGGTGGATGTTTTGGCAGCGGTCGAGGTCGCTTGAACTCCACCGATCTCGTCCTGCAACTGGACACTAAAACGATGACAGAAGATGAGACGTAAGTCAACTGTATGCATGTAATAAAGGTATCGAAACCAAGCCACTGACTTTATTTATACTGTATAGTTCTAACACTATCATGCTCTTCCTGGAGGTCCAGTAATAGCCATTCTTTTATTGGTAAACAGCTACTACAAGATGAAACCGGGGAACTCAGAGAAAACCTCGAGTCGTGGTTGTCTCATACTGGAAGCACTTGAAATGGCCTGCAGTTTAACACATTTTACTTCATGTTATTATATAGTTATACAATTTCTCTGGTGATTTCTACCGAGAGCCCGGAGTTTGGACCAAGACAAGACATGGTGAATATTTTCTTTTACGTTGCAAGAGGATTACCCCCACAACTCTCTACCAGGTAAAATGAAAATAAATACTCTCAATTATTTAGCCACTTGTTTGTATGCAATTCCTTCAACAAAGAAACTTATGTATTCTTATTCTTTCATAAACTTAGCTGCTCAAAGAACTGTCGAGAAAAAGTAATCCCAGACGAAAAGATCATTCTGACCTCATCATGTAGCTCTTACTGTTATGGTCAACTAAGCTTCATCTGGGCACTATATATGTACGATGATCCTAACACGCCAGAACCTTTCAACTTGACAGACTTGAATACATTTTCTCCAGAGGAATTTCAGAACATGGCATCAAATCCTATCAATCAGTTAGATGTTGCTATCAGGCCGAACTCTCTCGAGATTGGTAGGAAGTATATTATAGCTTTTCGAGCTGCACGACCCAGTGGCGTGTATGGTGAATTGAGGTATACGATGTTGGTTAACTCACCACCAGTACGAGGTAAGGGGTGGATATAAAGAGAATATCATCAGTACCAACATATCATCCTCACTATCATCATCACCACCATTGTCATCACTATTACCATCACCATCATTAGCATACCATCACCATTACCATCATTAGCATCACCATATAATCACCTTCAACATAACCTCCACCATAATCACAGCACCATCATCTCCACAACCATCATCATAATCACCAACATATCGCCATCATAATTACTACCACCTTCAACCTTATCATCATCATCATATTCACCACCATGATCAACACCACCATCATCATTACTACCATTACCATCACCACCTAGATAATCATTTTTATTTCCCAAAATCCAGGCAATTGTTCGTTCTTTCCTTCGTCTGGCATTGCGATGAAAACAAGCTTTACCATCTCCTGTGAAAAATGGAATGACCCAGACGCACCATTAACCTATGAATTCTCCTATCAAAGCAATGGTGTGAGAATCGTCTACTCTTATCTTACTGCGCCACCTGGTGAAAAGGTTACATCGACAGATTGGCTACCTATAGGAGATCACAAGAATAACTTTGAATTGATAGTAACTGCACAAGCCAAGGATAAGTTTGGATCGAAAACAAAACAATTTTGTACTGTAAAGGTAATCCTATCGAATAAATGAATATTTAAAAAACAACAAAATGTTCCCACTGTCACCATCATCACCATAATCATCAACATCATTACCATCATCACCACTATCATCATCATCATCACCATAATCATTATCACCATCGTCATCATGACTAACATGATGACAAGTATCACCACCACCATGGTGGAGCAAACATCTTCTTTGTATTAGCCGATGTTCGTTATTCATGAAGCACGACATATTTTCTAGGTACTTCCTCCACCAGAGAAAGTGCTGAACATGGCTGACCTACAAAACTTAGTTACAGGAGGCGAAAGTCCTTTTGCAAAACTTAATGATCTCGGACACAGTGGACGTGCACTTAGCCTGGCTTCATCCATGGGTGCTGTTCTGAACCACTTGTCTAAAGATGCAGCAGGGAACGGAACGAATACTACGTTATATGACAAAAACGTTTCCAAACAGGTAACATGTTGGAAATGTTTGATGTTAATTTCTTGCTGTCTTCAGCAATGTAGGAAATGAAATCGAATCACTTGCTCAAAAACTAATTCCTGGATGTAACCGATCGGAAAAGGGGGACAAGGTCTCTAAGGATTTAATATACCAGCGCTCTGACCTATAGGAAACTCACAATATTATATGTATACACATATACGTCCACATATACGACAAACTTTATAAATATAGCTGTGGGCCGATGTAAACAAACGCAATCTGAAATGAATATTGTGTCTTCTCAAAAGATCTGAAATGAATATTGTGTCTTCTCAAAAGCGTAAGGATTGTAGCTTAGTGTAACTGTTAGCTATAACAGTTTACATCTTTTTACCATGTTAACAGATTAGGTTACAATTGTTGACATCCATCTCACAGCAGAACACATCAATTGTGGATATATCGTCACTGGAACAAACAAGTGCGACTATTATAACTTTGACTGAGAATACAGACGAGTTAGTTCCTGAAGCTAAGGTATTTTGAATGCTTTTGTATTTGTAAGAACTTCGCACCAATTTGTTCGCAACACGTGTTTGACACTAGGGAACTGTTCGGTTTTGGCGAGCAGCGGGCTGGTAGTAAGAAAATTAAACAAAATCTCACATTTCTTATTCTAATTTCTTAATTTCCTATCCAGGATGCTGCACTTGGCATATGCGGGGCACTCACGGATACCCTGAAGACCTTATCGGATAATGACGTTGGTTTCGAAAATGTCCAAAGAGGAGCCTCGAATCTGGTTAAAATTCTTGGACCAATGTCTGACAGTTTGACAAACGATAAAGCCAAGAATAGTACGGAAAGCAATAGTAAAGTCCCCGTAAGTATTTATGCATATTAGCAATACCTTTTCGTATTAAAATAATACAATAATTCAACCAATACAAGCAATGGAAGTTGTCGTTTCAATTTTAGAAACAAGTCAAATTTTCGGTGGGTTTGGTGGACAAAATTCAAAGTGTGCTCCTAGACAACATCGTTACTACCGAAGGACCAGTAAATGTTGAAACTGACTCACTTTCCTTACAAGTTGAAAAAGTGACAGTCCAAGATTTCGGTCAAAAGAAAAACAGTTTAAAAAATTCCGAGTTTAAAGCTCCATCGCCTAGTGCACTTGGATTGGAAGAGAGTAAGTGATTATTTGACTGCAGAGAAATAACTGAATATAAGAATCGTGGTGATCTATTAAAATTTCTTTTCACAGTTGCAAAAGATCCGAACAACACATTTCTTCACATGCAGCCTATCGGCATCAAGGTATATAATAGATATTATTTTTGCGTTGCCTGCTCGAAGGGACGATTGAAAGTCGTCGTGTGGTTTACAGGTATACACTTAGCACAAATGCACTCTAAATGTATCTAACATTTGTTATTAGATTACTTTTCTCATCCCAGTCCTAATAGACTCTGTTCCTCAACACCCATATTTCAGCTCAGTATATTTGCATTACTAGATGGCTGTGTTTAACAAGAATCCGTTCAGTTGGGATAACACAAGTGAGAAGATCTCGTCAAATGTTGTTGATGTAGTTTTGACATCCACAATGAATATTTCGACATCAAACTTTAGTGAAGATGCTTCGATCAAGATCGCACGTGACCCATCCCAATTTCCACCAGCAGATTCCTTCTATCTTAAACCAAACGAGAAAAACTTGACCTCAAACACCAAAGACTATCTTAAATATCATTGCTTTACTCGAAGAGGTGAACATACTTCAATGAATTTCGAACTGCATCCTGAAGAGCCAGGGATCCGTTTTAAAGTTTATCTCAAGAAAGGAGGAAAACCTAACGTGAAGGATGGAGATTTTATGCATTTTTACGAAGTGCCCGATCTCAGTTACTGCACAGTAGACAACGAAGATGTGTTTAATTCTAAGTTTAATAAATCAGAAGGAAACTCAAGCGATCATGTGCAAATTGAATCAAAGAATTGTCTCAAAGATCCGTACACAGTGTTTGTGTCCAACGTTGACTTTAATGGAACTGGAGAGTATTGTTTTGGTAAGTGATCGTCTTTTTTCATTCCTTAATCTATTCTGCCCTTTCTTCATTCCTTTTCCCTTTCTTAGCTCTTCCTTTTATCCTTTTATCTTGCTTTATTTGCTTTTACTTCCCTTCTACTTTTCCATAGAATTATTTTGTTATATGACAGTTCCTTCATCTGTTCTTCGTTATGGCATTCATTCTTCTTCCCTCCGTTCTTTTATCCTTATTTTCCTTTATTACTAATTTTTTTCCCTATCGCCCCTTCTTTTAGTGTTTATATTTTTTATTACTTTCTTTCTTGCTTTCTTCCACCTTTCAGTCCATCCTTAGCTCTTTCACTTTAGATATCCACTTATTTCATCCTTCGTTCTTCATACAATCATTTTAGCCATTCAGTATATACATACCGTCGACGACACAGATGGAGACCCCGATTCCCGACGTCGGAAACGTTCAGTGTCGTGTGAAGTGGGTGCCAGACGTGTGCGTCGTTCTTGCGTGATCATTCCTCCTGCACCCCCAAAGCCCACCGCCGCCCCACCGATCGAAATCCTGGTAGCAGACAACCTCGGCTTTGATGGAAAATTCTTTTTCCCAAACCAAACTCCGAACTACAACCTGATAATGTTTGAATCAAGTTGCGTGCATTGGAACGTTGAGAATGAAACATGGACGGGGGAAGGATGTAGGGTGAGTCGTGTAAAGCTTTAAATTCGATCATTTGTTTGCTCGAAGTAGGGGCAAACCATGTACAGGACCCCACCCCCACAGACTCTTTCCTCACAGGAATTGGGTCCCATGCTCAACAAGGCAGACACAACCAGAATCGATGTCACTGTGTCTAATTTGTTTATTATTCTTTATACAGGTGGCTCCTGGTACAAACAAAGAAAAGATCGTGTGTTACTGTAACCATTTGACGTCGTTTGGAAGTGATCTTCTTGTTGCTCCAAACCCAATTGATTTTGACTCAGTTTTCAAGAACTTTGGAAGTCTTGCTGAGAACGTTGCTGTACTGGCTTTGATTTCAACCATTCTTGGTGTGTATATTATCGGAGTTATCTGGGCAAGGCGAGCTGATAAGAGGGACTTATTGATGGTCGGCCCAACTATCCTGTCCAAACCCAAAGGATCCTATCATTACCTCATTACCACCTACACAGGCAGCAGACAAGGAGCTGGTACTACAGCCAGAGTCGTGTTAAAAATGAATGGAGATGAAGGCGACACACAACCTGTCAGGTTGAGAGATCGTCAGAGACCTTGCTTTCAACGAGGACAAGAAAACGCATTCGTTGTTTCATATCCCCAGGGAATTGGTGATCTTACTTATCTCCAAATATGGCACGATAATACTGGTAAGGAAATGACTAGCCTTTATGTTCCTTGCTCAACATCAACATAGGATTAAACTGGCTCTATTTATACTGCATAGCTCTATCAGGCGTAAACTGTTTTCCTTAGAGTAAGAACCGTCACTTACTGGTGTTACTACAGGAGGAAAGCAAGGTACTCAGAGAAAACCTGTGGGGTTTGATACAGTCAGTCTTGGTGAAATTATATTCGAAAATGCATTTTTCAGAAACCTAAAATGGTTTTCACTTCATTTTAGGTCCTTCGCCATCGTGGTACCTTAGTCGTATTTCAATAAAAGACCTTCAAACTGGTAAAACATGGCCATTGTTTTGCGAAAACTGGTTGGCTGTTGAATCCGAAGATGGTAAAGTATGTCGAATTCTTTCTGTAGCCAACGAGCAGGAGATGGTCAGTTTTGGACATTTGTTCTCAACTCGTGCCATTAAAGGTCTCGCAGATGACCATATATGGTTCTCCATTGTCTCCAGACCTCCAACCAGTAACTTCACGCGCGTCCAACGTCTCTCGTGCGCTCTTTGTCTGCTATGTTGTACAATGATCACCAGCGCAATGTTTTACAACATGGGAGGTCAGGGTCCGAGTCCGTTTGCAGTTCACATTGGATCGTTGGTTATTGATTTAAAACCGTTTGTGATTGGCTTACAGAGCAGCATAATTATAGTCCCGGTAAATGTGTTGCTTGTGCAAATTTTCCGCAATCTTCGACCCAAGAAAACAAAAGTCGGACCCGAAAATTCAGAAGTCCACAATAATGTTGAAAATAAAATAAAAGAGGACAAACCACAAGTGCGTAAAGGCAAACTTCCTCACTGGTTTATCTATCCAGCCTACGCGCTCTGTTACCTCGCATCGGCTGCATCGATATTCTTCACTTTACTCTACAGTATTCAGTGGGGGAAGGAAACGTCAACTGAATGGGTGATTGCTATGGTAACATCATTTTTCCAATCAGTTTTACTTCTGCAGCCAGTCAAAGTAGTTGTGGTTGCAGTCGTGTTTGCGTTGATTATAAAAAAGCCCAGTGATACTGAAGAAGAGTCGAACGACGTGCCGCTTGTTGAGAGGAAAGTTAAAAAAGGTGGAGCGCCAAAGAAGATGAAGAAGTACTACAGGTATAAACAATCAAACAAAAATCAAGCAAATAAATAAAAAGTTTAATCTACCATCACAATCATCACCACCACCACCACCACCATCATCTACACAGTTACCACCATCATGACCATTCGCAGCTCTCCATCTCTCTCTCAATCCATAACAAAATCTTCCTTGTTATCTTATTCCCGCAGCCATTTTCTATCTTCTTATCTTTCTCATATCATCGAGTCTGGTTCTTGTCTTCTCACATACCCAACCACCTCAAACATCCAATATAAATACGAATAAACGAGAAAAAAAGTAAAAACCAGTTCAAATACTACAGCAGTCAGTTCAGTGCAACTTACGATGCAAACGTTTTCCCTTTTAGTCCTCCAAACCCCGCAAAGTTACGGAAAGCAAGAGAAAAACGTCTAAAAGAGCTCAAGATGAACGCGGCTTTGAAAGAAATTTTTGCTTTCTTTGTCTTCCTTATTTTGCTCATGGACGTTGCGCAGTACCACAGGGATCCCAATACTTTCTTCTTGACAAAGACATTGTCTGAAACGTTTGACGAGGTGGACGATTATTCTATTGACTTAGCTGCGGTGAGTTTCTGTGTATGAAATCATATTTAGTCAGGAAACGCCATTTCTTCGCAACAGAAGTCACATGTAGACCTGCGAGGCTAATTAGGCAATATTTTTTTTCAGGTGTCCGACACGGATTCGCTGTGGATGTGGTCACGTGAGACGCTAATTCCTGGATTATACGCAACCGAATGGTACAACGGCAAGAAAATGAAGAAAGGATGGCTTGCGAATATGGAGATTTATCTCGTGGGTGTCCCGCGTGTGCGAACACTTCGCGTGGAGGAAGGTAAAGTTATCAATCTAAGAGTTCTGAATTAGATAAATCAAATAAGACATTCTATTTCTTTTTAGATTCTTGTACAATGTCAAGCTATGTGGAAGACATGATCCCGCATTGTTACTCTGGGTACTCTGTAGCAAATGAAGACGATGGAACATATAATATAGGCTGGGAGCCACTGGACAGTAGTTCTTCACGAAAACGCAGAGATATCAGTAACCTAATGAGCGAAGTGGAATGGTTCGAGTTAATAACAGGAACAAATGAACAGAATGGAGGTAAAGACGATCATGTACGACACAAGAGAGCCATGGATCCGATCAGTTCGTCTGCTAGTGGCAGAAATCGTCGAAAGAAAAAACGACTGCTAGCTAGCAAGAGTCCTAAAGTTTATACCATTGCTGACAACGCTCTGTTACCTGACGGCAGCATTTTGTCCTGTCTCGAGAGATGGCGTCATCAAACAATGATAGACTTGCGGGGATTCCCCTACTGGGGTACAATCACCATGTACAGTGGCAGTGGTTATGTAGCAAACCTTGGCTACGACCAAGTGACTGCGTACACTGTTGTCTCTGATTTGCATTCGAATGGTTGGATAGATGTTCAAACACGTGCTGTATTTGTCGAGTTCACCGTATACAATGCAAATACAAACTTATTTGGGATCATCTCGATTTTTATCGAATTTCCACCTTCGTCAGGAGCGGTTACCAAAGTCCAGTTCGAAGCTTCACGGTTCTATATCCACCTTACTGGCGGGCAAACTCTAGCTCATGTGTTGGTCATATTCTTCATGATGTATTTCCTCTATAGAGAAGGAAAACTTGTCTATAAACAACGCTGGGCTTACTTCAAAGGTTTCTGGAATTGGGTTGAAGTTATCCTCATTATTTCCGAGTTCCTCTTGATCGTTCTCTTCCTTGCGCGTCTGTACGAAGTTGACAGAAATCTTCTTCAGTTACGAGAAAATCCAAACGACTACGTTGGATTTCAGTACGCTGCAAATGTAGATGCCCTGATGACTTATGTTATTGGTGTTCTGGTATTCTTCTATATTTTACGTTTCTTACGTCTGTTGAGATTCAATAAAAACTTCCTGGTTATTGGAAAAACATTGTCGAGAATAAGCGCGCCAATTTTGAGTTTCTGTCTACCTTTTATCGCCGGATTCTTTGCATTTGCCTTACTGGCTTTCTCGATGTTTGGCTCAGAACTGGAAGACTACAGCTCATTCATAAGGACAATGGTGACTCAACTCAGTATGACTTTGGGAGATTTTGATTTCGAGGCCATATTTATGGTCAATCCGACCGTTGCAACCCTCTATTTCTTTTCGTTTATTGGATTAAACGTGATGGTGTTAATGAACATGTTCATAGCCATCATCAACGACTCTTACGCCGAGATCCAGGAGGAAACTGCCGACATTGAGAACGAATTTGAGATTATTGAATACGTCACAACAAAAGTAACCAACGTTCTTCCTGGTCACGGTGCCAAGGTTGCCCCGGCAAAAAAGAAAAAAAGAAAACACAAACAATTGCCTCAAAAGGAAGCACCTAACGAACAGTTCTCGAATGAGTTAGATTTACGTGGAAAGAGACTGGAAAATGTTTTGGATAGCGTAGAGAAATGTTTCGAAGAAGATGAATTAGTAGCGGAGAGACTCTGTTCTGTACCTAAAGACAAACAGCACTTGATTTTCATAGTTTTGTGTTTAATGGAATAAATAGGAACAGAGTGACTTGTCCTTTAGATTCTGTAGGCCCGTTTACACTTGCAATTTGTGCTGAGATTTTCTTCTTCATGGATGTGAACGAGTTATGAATGTTTAGTTGAGGATAAATATATTCAGAACATTCACAATCTATTCGTAATTCATGTGCATCGAAAATCGCATTAGAAATTGCAGGGAAAAGTGTACACGGGTCTTACTGTCGTTCCAATTGAAGTGTTGCTCAAATATTGATTCAATACATTACCTCGGGCTGACCAATTCATTTGATCAAGTTCCTCGAGATATTCATACACTTCCTGTGAAAGAGCCGATTCCAAGTATTTCGGATCATTTCTGGTCACTTCCTTTCTATTTATGATTGGTTAGTTGCACAAACAACAAAGGTGATTGGTGCATTCAAACTATTCAACAGGAAGTTTACAATTATACTAGGAAGTGTATGAATATCTCGAGGAACTTGATGAAATTAATTGGTCAGCCCGAGGTAATGTATTGAATCAATATTTGAGCAACACTTCAATTGGAACGACAGTAAGTAGGACAAGAAAAACAAGACGCGTCTAAAGACATTAGTTTAATTACACTGACACTACACACTGAATGAAGTTATTAACATTTCCTTAAGATAACTTGCAGCTTTTCAGAACAATGATTTTCATTGTTTCATTTTCATTGTGTTATACTTTAGGAAATCTCCATCCAGTTGGAGGTGGTTTTCTCAACAGCTGCTAATACTTGTTTTATCTAGCCCGTTATGCTGGAAATAATCGGGCCTCGACTCTGGCATTTAGACCAACGAAACTTGCTTTGGAAACAAATTCGATGACATTCCATATTGGAATAGATGTAATATTTGACATGACGCGCAAATATATTTTGCTATTTTTATTTACTAGTTGTAAAACAACACGACTGAACTAATTATACAACTCAACTTAAAGCAACTTGCGCAATACAAGATACGATGAATATATGTATGAATGAATGAATAATTTTAATTATTTTTAATGTGAAACTAAGTTACTAAGTAGACTAAGTACACGTAGTTATTATTCAATTAATCTTTTCCTGTTCAATGATAAGTCTCTCAATATTCATTCCTAACAAAGTTTCACATATGATAAATATTAACAGTAGCATGGTTTGTCTTAGAGCCGGTACATTTACAAACAAATCTCAGAGTCACAGAACAAACGGGAATCTGCACCGTAAACTCTCTATAATCATGGAAGTTCATTTCGTCCCAGACTGCTTTTCCGCCAATGCCAACTCCCACCTTATTTTTCCCTGAACTCGGATTACTGAAACCAAAAGTAATGGTGGTACCATTAATATCATAGCTGGTGTAACCACTGCAGCCAGAGAGCGAGTTATCCTTTTCGTAACTTAAGATATCCATGTGTCGGCCATCGGGTATAGTTTGTGGCCATTTGTATGTATCCGCTAGTCTGCCACTGTCGTACCAATCGCGTTTAAAATTCATCGTAAAACCAGACTGATTCTCCACTGTTAGTCGAACTGTATGTTGTTTAACCATTGTATGGACTGTAGCCTTTACGAAACCACAGGAAACACGGTTAATTTTAACTGTATCTGGGTAAAATCAACTAAAATCTTTACAACAACTTGGGACTATTTCAAAGAAATCAGTCAACCGCGTCGCGAGTTCTCGGGTTTCACAATTCTTGGTAAAACCGGATATGGAAATTTCATTTCGGAAATACAGCGTTCCACTTCGAAGGATTTTATGAAAGGAAAAAAGAAGCATGATTATGATTAGGTTATACAAAAATCCGTTATACTCATAAGCATTCCCAATGTTGAATATCGTAAGATACGATGGAAATTGACGAGCTTTTTGTCGTGTCGTATCTAATACTATGAAGAAACTTAACTAGACTTGCTGTTACTGCGTGCATTTTTGTAAGAATTCAGCATTTCCAGTGTAGACGAAATCTCAAGGACAACTTAAAACGAACCGCTGTCACAGTGATTTCGGTTCCCCCGTGAAATCGGTTCCCCCTCGAATAAAATTCCTCTATTATAACCGGAACTTAATGCCTATCGCAGTACCGGCAGAATTTCCCTTGTTTTGATCATTGAACTATATTTTATATACGATATAGTTCAATGGTTTTGATAAAAATAAGCGCGGGACTTTTGTCCAAATTTGCAATCATTAATGAAAATCTAAGTATCTAACTAAACAATGATATAGATTTTAGACTTTACATAAGTATTTCGTATCATTTCAAACAAAACTGATTGAAACTAGTATATATTATAAATACAGTATCTTTACAACAACTTGGGACTATTTCAAAGAAATCAGTCAACCGCGTCGCGAGTTCTCGGGTTTCACAATTCTTGGTAAAACCGGATATGGAAATTTCATTTCGGAAATACAGCGTTTCCACTTCGAAGGATTTTATGAAAGGAAAAAAGAAGCATGATTATGATTAGGTTATACAAAAATCCGTTATACTCATAAGCATTCCCAATGTTGAATATCGTAAGATACGATGGAAATTGACGAGCTTTTTGTCGTGTCGTATCTAATACTATGAAGAAACTTAACTAGACTTGCTGTTACTGCGTGCATTTTTGTAAGAATTCAGCATTTCCAGTGTAGATGAAATCTCAAGGACAACTTAAAACGAACCGCCACTTAGTGGAGGGAACTACTTTCATCCGATAAGCTAGTCAAGGTTACTGAAATATTATTTTACGATCACAAAAGTGCACAAACAACTATATTTGCATAACCACAGCAGGTACTGCTTTATAGCGTCAAACAAAAATACTAGCCCGTCAGAAACAAAGTAGCACTCAAGAGCATTACTCGATTGTGAACAGTTATGAGGTTTGACAGAGTCAGAAGCTGCCTTGCCGGAGTATCATTCTAGGATCGACCATTCCAGACTTGTGCATTCGTAAAGTCCAAAGTTTGTGCATTTTTGAGAGGAACAAATACAATACATCAATGGTGTTATTAGAGATCGCGTTATTTGGAGCGCTCACATCAATGTACATTGCCGTTCAGGCCTATTTCTGTCGCCATCCTGAAATCCCTAATGGAGTTCAGAATATCTACCACGACGATGGGGGAGAAGCATGGCAGTATGCTATGTACAACAAGTATACAGTTTGGTAAATCATCTCAAGAACTGCAACGATATACAAACGACACAAAGGAAACTATCCATCTTCAGCTTGAGAAGTTTAAATTCTTTAGAATCCGAACAAAGTAGATAATATATGGTTCTTTTTTCAAACGGATTATGCTCCGTGATAAATATTTGTTCATTTTGTGAAAAAATTATATTGTTGAATTTTTAACCAGAAAATCATAAACGTACTTCTTTTCGCCCCAGGCCCTTCACTCGGCTGGCTTTGGCAAGTTTGGTCAACTACGTTTGCTAGCATTTGGTAGATTCTAGTGTTATTATCAGTAACATTTATACAATTTAACATGCTATACAATGTGCTAATTACCATATCCTAGAGAGCCAATTAACATCAAATGTTCTAATTAACATATGTTTATACGCTAATAAACATACTCGAAAGTTTTAATTAGTTGTTCTTAATTAATATGCTTATTATCATATCCTTATCAACATATTATACTAATGTCTGATGCTTCATTAACATATTCAATCGTCACTGGGCCATAGATTTCCGGCCAAAAAGTTCGTCGCGAAATATTTTACTAGTAAAACTGTAGATGATGGGATTAACCGCCGAATTAGCGAGGACCAATGAGATTGCAAAGATTTCATAGTGTGGAGATTTTAGAAAATTAAAGCCATGAGCTATAGCTCGCACCCACAATGGGATATAACACACGTATAAACTGATAACAACACAGAAAAACATTTTAGCTACTTTTCTTTTCACGCCACTGTGCCAAGTGGTTCGTCTCCCGGAGGTATCTTGAACACTGTTGTGGATTTTCGTAAGTTTACGCAACTCATGGTAGATGTTGACCCAACAGCAAATAATGGCTGTCGCCACGCAAAAACCAACGAATGAACGAACCATTAGGACGTATTTGCCAACCACACCTAGAAACATAATTAATGAAATAAAATTCTAAATCCCCTTGCAAGAAAGAATTGCTCAAAATATAAAGTCTTTGTTTCCAGATATTGCGATTTCATTTCAATATAACACAAGTCGAGATTTCTCAACAACGTTCCCACTCAAAAATAGGCTCAAATTTAAGATATCACAAATATAGGGATCTACTGTAAGTAGTATTCTATTGTACACGGTAGTACAGCTGTGGTTACGGCAGGGATGGATTTACTGGGGGGGGGGGGGGTTGCGCACCCCCCCCCAGCCCTGGCAAGAGGGGGTGCAGAGGAGGTGCTATTTTTCATGATAAAGCAAAAAATTATTAGAGACAAAATTTGAGTAATAACATGATGATAAGCGAACTGTGAACAACAATTACAATTCAAATTCTGTAGTCAAGCAAGACTTTGCAGTAGTGAAGCAAGTCAATGGGCGGGCAGCACACATGAACGACACAACTTGGCACCAGAGCTGGCAGAGCACCCCCCCCCCCC